AATGTTATGAATTTGTCCCCTAGTAGAAATTTGATGGTGGAAGTGCTATAGTCCACCACGTGTGGACCAAGTGTCTCTAACCAGTCAGCACCAATTACCATGTCAACTCCGATCACAGGTAAAACAAAGCAAGACATGTGTAAAATATGCCTGTTAATTTGCATGGGGTGTCATTCACCAATTTAGAGTGAGTCAAAATACGTTTGGTCCCTCCCAGAACCTTAACCTCGGGTGTGAGTTCCACTAGAATTTTTAAATGTTGAACAATCCTGGGGTGTAGAAAATTGTCAGATGAGCCGGCAAAAATTTTGTGTCACATGTGTAGCAAAGGCCCTTCTCTCGTCTGACTTGCATCTCTGTTGCTTTCATCCTCTTAACTAGCGGCATATTAGGTTTAGGCAATAAAGGAGGCAAATTAGCTTTACCACCACTAGTCTACATAGTGCTCGCTTTGGTGTTGGACCCTAAACATGGCACTATGACCTTTAGTGAAATCATTGCACCTAGCGAGGTGTTAAATCGAGATTTGGATTCAGTGGCAGGAACAGATACATATGAGCTGGTTGTGTTAATGAATGAACGTGCTAATGCCATTGCACTTAAAACATTTGAAGGACGTTGAACCAAGATGTTCCTCTTCATATCCAGATTTAAACCACCCAAGTAACAATCTAGCAATGCTGCCTCCAGTATGTCTTTTGTTCTATTAGCCAGAGTCATGAACTTGGAGTTATATGCCTCCAATACACTGCCAACCCCTGCTTGGGTGAGCTTAAATAATTGCGATCCAGCACAGTCAAACTTAGATGGCCCATAATGAATTTTGACTACCTTTGCCAGGGCTGCCCAATCTGGCACTCCGCCTACTTTTCCAACATTTGGTACCATGGTAGAACGTCACCATCTATGTGTACAAAAGCGATCACTAGTCATTGTGGTTTGACACACCAAAGTATTTGAAATACTATTATGCTCTGTATAACCAGTCAAGTGCATCATGGCCATCGAACCTCGAGAAATCCAACTTCAGCGTCTTGTGGTACGATGTGCCATAATTGATGGGCTATTCTGACATCCCTGAGAAATAGGCCTCCGCGCTGCTTTAGCATGCGATGATAAACCGGTCATTGCCTTGACTACCGACTGTAGCATTGCCTCGAACTGATTGAAACGTCCTTCTATTTGATTGAATCTACCATCAATCTAATCAAACCGTTCATCAATTCGTTCGAGTTGCCCCTTGATACTCTCTGTAAAGTCATTCATCTTTTTCATATCATTCCGCAGTTCTTTCAAACGCGTATTATAGGCCATTCCGTACACTCTAGAGGTCTCTTGACGGAAGCACCAAGAATGGAATGACCTGAGCAATAAACAAATGCGAATGCGAAATCAAAAGATATATGTATTGAAATCAACTTAATATATCAGTCGAATATAGCCAAAGCAAATACAATGCAACAGAAAATTCAACAATGCAGGAAAATAGCGGAAGATCGGTTCAGAGAGAGAGAATACGCCATAGAGAAGATTCTTCAACAATGCACCCCCTTCTCTAACGTCCTGACATTGCTTTTATTCTGATGTGCCATCCTCCAGCTCACGCAATTTCCATGTGCTCTTTCTCACCCGCGTGTTACGCCTTGGTTGGCCCCAATACTTGATCTTGCATTTGTTGGCCCATCCGAGGTTGGGCTATGGTTGCTCATAACAGTGTATTGGGTCAAATTTGTAATTGGATCTAGGTCAAAACTTCGAGATCATAAAGAGAAAGAGCCATGAAACTCTACGGCTGGGCACTGGGCAAGAACAACCGATGGAGGTGCCCCAGTTTGTAAGGTCAGATTGACTATGCATATATATTAAGAAGATGTGATTTCCCGTATTTTAAGAAACTTTTTCTTGGTTCCTTTCTTCCCCTTAAATTAACAATCTCACAATAAATGTGATATCTAACAATAAATTAAATCCGAATTTAATTATATATTTTAATTAACAATTAAAAACAAAAAGAAATAAGCAAATTTATTTAAATGGGTCATAAACATATTCATTAGTCTTGAAACTTTTTGATTTCATCGAACTGGGATGTTATGGTTAGGCGTCAAACGCTGTAACCATCCAATCCCGAAGCTATGTTTGGCATGTGGTTATTACATATCAATATATAAGGTCCTTGGAAGAACTAGATGGCTTTGCTTGGTACATACGTGGTTCTCGATATTAGGGGGCGTTTGAATAGAAACAAAATCATAGTTTTAAAAGTGTTTTTATAAAATACAAAATAAATATATGAAGGAATTTATGCCGTTTTGTATAAAAGTACTTCTTAAGAACATTTTTTTATGTTGACAAATACCCCCTTAATTGATTGGGGATGAGAATGGATTAGGTTTGGAAGAGGGATTAAGAATGAGATTGATTTTCAAAATTATATTTGGTATGGAGTAATATTTGGAAGGAATGATTGCATTAATTTTATATTTAAATTAATTATAAATTGAAAAGATTATAACAACTTTGTTATTAAAAAAAGGGAGGATCCCCAAATAAAATACATTTGGAATCCCAAATCAATCTTATTTATTATACTTTAATAAAAATTGACAATATTTGAAAAGCAAATAATAACACATTTTTTAGTCATTTTTTAATTTAGACATTTGAAATTTTAGAAGTAATTTTTTTGAGACTTTTCCTTTTAAAAAAAAAAACACCTTCTTGTTTTGAGGGAAAGGAGGGCATTTTAGTCTGAAAAATCCGAATCCTATGATTAAATTTTCAATAACATCACCCCTCATGGTTTTCCTCAATTTCACCCATATCAGTTTGTTGATTCAATCCTAAGTAACAAGTTAACAATCCCCATTTTAAACATAATTCCCCCCTCATGTTTTCCTCAATCCTAGTTTGTTGATTCTTACCTCTAAATAATTCATACCAAACAAGGCCTATGTGAGGCCAAAAATAGAGATAAGATTTTTTTTTTTTTGCCTTAAAGTACAAGTATCGTCCTATTGAAGACAATTCCATTTAAGATACTGAAGGGTGTTAAATGTGGACATAGTGGTAAGAATTAGGGCCGGGCAAAAAGAACCCTTTGTACAAGACTCAGTTTTTCAATTCCCAATCCTATCCTAAAAGGGTGAAACGGAAGCATGCTCTCTCACTCACACACAGTCACACACTAAAAGCGATTTTTTATATAAGAAAATTTTGAGTGAAAAAAAATTAAATATGACTCTCCTTTCAAATGCACCCACTTAAAGGAAATAATTAAATAATCTACTATGGTTTTAACTTTCTTATATAATCAAAATTTATTATCTATAAAAATCTAATTATCATTTACATCATATTAATGTCACTTACACCACAGTTCAACTATTCCAAATTTTTGCTATTTACATAAAATATTCACTATATACACAAAAAAAAAAAGTTAAGAAAGGTAAAAATATGTTTAACGGCCTTGGCAGGCTAAGGATCCATATTAGCCCAAAATGATATTCTTTTCAAAACGATCTCTCGACATTTTTAGGGCTTAAATAGGCTTGTTCCATTTTTTAGCTGAAAACTTACTTTTAACTTGTTATTTAGTGAACAATTTAACTTAACATCGAGGGTTTGATTTAATTTGTGAAGAATGCTTTGATTTTCTTCTCTCTCTTTTTTAATTTAATTTCCAATTTTTCTTGTTATGCAATATACAAACTGCACAGTAGAAAAGCCATAGTTTGCCAATAGCATTATAGTTCAGTGGTATGCAAGCTTCCTCGGTGAGAGGTCGTGAGTTTAATCATGTTTATAACCTTAGACTATTAGCACTTGTCCCTTTAATTTAAAAACAAAAAGAATAGAAAAGTCATAGTATAAAATTGAGGCACTGAGACCAGAATTTTTTAAAAAAAAAAAATTAAGAGGCTAAAAATTGTATCAACTAAAAATATATCTATAGATATGGAAAACAAAAAAAAAACAAAAACTTATGAGCTTGCCCATCCATTCAATTAACCAATCTGAACTCCAACTGTCTCATTATTAAAAGAATAAATGTTCACCCAGCAGTAACAGACTAACAGATCAAGAATATTCATTTATGACTGGGTCATCACAGTGTAAGAAACCAATGAATGTGTCGGGTAATTTAAAAATTCCCAACATCATTAAATTAATTTATTTACATCAGACGATAACAAACCCTACCTATCGAGGATCAATTGCCTCTCTTCTCTCTTCCATAACAATGTAACAATATACTCCTCCGTCCTAATTATAAGACCCAATTGACTATTTGAGGAGATTAAGGAAGTATTAAGTTGGTTATTTATAATAAATAAGTGTTGTCATTCCTAAAATATTCTTGCTAATTAAGTATATTGGCTAAAACTATCATTATTAGAAGGATTATCTTGAAAAAAAATGCATAAATATAAGAGACAAAATGGATTGGGTCTTATAATTAGGACCAAATAAAAAGTCAAATTGGGTCTTATAATAAAGACCGGATGTGTATATATATAAATGAATATGTGTATACACGAAAAGACAAATCAAAACTAAAGAACTATGTACTATATACCGTCCTGGTTCACCATCGTCTTCAATCTCTCGACTTTTACCTTGCCCCTCTGATAAGATCCAAAATTCTCTTTCGTCCACATTTACAGGCTTCAACCTCAAGTACATGCAAACTCACGCGTGTACTCTTCATCCATGTAGGTGTCCAAAACTTCCTTTTCACTCACAGTCCATCATCGTCCCCACCTGATGATGATAATGTTCTCTGCAGAACATTTCTCTGTTTCTTTCTGAAACAACACTCGTCAAGCTGCATGACTCTCTAAGCCCCAAATGTCCTCCATGCATTAAAACCAGACCTCATGATCCTCCACCTTCCCCTCACTCACACCATTACAACCCCCAGATTGCTCTCTATAAATACCCACTTCATCTTCCTCTCCATTTCAGAAAACATCGTTCGGTTTTTGTGATCAATCATGGGTTGTTTCAAAGCCAGGCTTCCTGTTCTATTGCTTCTGGGTTCTGTTTTCCTGGCAGTGGCCTCCGTTGGCCTTGCCCACTGGGAAGATGATGAGAACTCGGAATACCGAGTCTGTGTGAAAAATTGTGTCTTTCAAAGTGATGCTTCCAGGTCTTTTGACTGCCCTGCTCGTTGCAGGCCGAAGAGGGAGCGGCATGGGGAGAAGGAAGAAGCAGCTGAACGGGACCCACGTCTTCCCGACCCTCGCCATCCATGGCGGCCGGGACAGACTGAAGAAGGAGAGGGGGAGGAGACGGAGGGGCAGAAACCTCAGTGGCAGAGAGAGAGGGAACAACAACAAGGTCCACACCAACAACCTCGTCCTTTGAGGCCGGAAGAAGGAAAAGAAGGACAACAAGAACGTCCACAACGACAACCTCGTCCTTGGAGACCGGAAGAAGGAGAAGAAAGACAACAGGAACGTCCACAACGACAACCTCGTCCTGGGAGGCCGGAAGAAAGAGAAGAAGGACAACAAGAACGTCCACACCGACAATCTCGTCCAGGGAGGCCGCAAGAAGGAGAAGAAGGACAAAAAGAACGTCCACAACGACAATCTCGTCCGAGGAGGCCAGAAGAAGGAGAAGAAGGACAACAAGAACGTCCACACCGACAATCTCGTCCTGGGAGGCCGCAAGAAGGAGAAGAAGAACAACAAGAACGTCCACACCGACAACCTCGTCCCTGGAGGCCCGAAGAAAGAGAAGAAGGACAACAAGAACGTCCAGAACGACAACCTCGTCCTTGGAGGCCGGAAGAAAGAGAGCAAGAACGTCCACACCGAGAACCTCGTCCCTGGAGACCAGAAGAAGGAGAAGAAGGACAACAAGAACGTTCACACCGACACCCAGGACAACAAGGTTCACGACATGACCGACCAGGTCGTCCAGGGAAGTGGTGGGAACCAGAAGAAGGACAAGGGGAGGAGCAGAAACAGCAACGAGAAAACCCGTATTATCTTCCCTCCAATAGGTTCGAAACTCGATTCTCAAACGAACATGGTCAGATACGGGTCCTCCAAAAGTTCGACCAGCTGTCCCCAGACCTCCGAATGCTCCGATACTACCGGATCGTCGAGTTCAGATCCAGACCCAGCACCCTCGTCGTGCCTCACCACTCGGATGCTGAGTACCTCATCATAAACACCAAAGGTACGTAAAGCTCTCATCTTCATTTTACAGTCCTGTCTTCTGTGTATTATATATATATATATATATATATATATATATATATATTGGATGCTAACTGAACATCAAACGCATGATTAATTGCAGGGAGGGCCATAGTTACCCTTGTGCTTCCGAACTACAAAGAGTCTTTCAACCTCGAGCAATTCGATGTTTTGAGGGTTCCTGCAGGGGCCATATGTTATACCATTAACCGAGCCAGCAGTCAAGATCTTGAGTTCATCAAACTCGCTTTACCTGTTAACATTCCTGGTCAATTTGAGGTTTATAATTCTCTCCTTAACTTACTGGTTCATATTAATCCTCAGAAACACCCCCCCCCCAAAAAAAAAGCAAGAACAAGATTCTCATTAATTCCTTGTTCCTGACGTTGTGCAGAACTTCTATCCCTCGGGCAATCAAATTCCAAACTCCTACCTCAAAGCCTTCAACAGGAAGACTCTCCAGGCCGCCTTCAACGTAAGCATCATCTATAATGTTGTTTTTGAGTTTGTCATTGTATTCTGATTTATTAACGACGTATTGTTGATATGAAATAGGCCCCGTACGAGGAGATTGAGCAGGCATTTTGGGGAACAGAGCAGCAGCAGCAGCAACAAGGGCAGCAGGGTTCAGAAGAAGGAGTTATAGTGAGATTGCCAAGGGAACAACTTAGATCACTGATCAGCCGTGCCCAATCAAGACAAAGAAGGGAAGAAAAAAGTTCACCATTGGGTCCTTTCAACTTGAAAAACATTCAACCTCGCTACTCCAACAACCATGGTACCTTCCGTGAGGCTCACCCTCAACGCTTCGAAGCTCTTCAAGACCTGGGCATCGGTGTCTCCCACCTAAGACTCAATGAGGTATAGACACATACATACATATAACTCAACCAATTGATCATGATAACAACATATACAAGGTTTGGTGAATTTTGGCAATGATGATGAGTTGTTTTGTTGATTGTTGTTGTGCAGGGATCAATGTTTCTGCCTCACTACAACACAAGAGCGATAATACTGGCCTTCGTTGCTGAGGGACAAGGACACACTGAAATGGCGTGCCCACATCTGGCAAGCCCTGAGGAACAGGAGGGAGAGTGTGGATGTAGAGCGAGGCGACAGCGTGAGGGGGAACAAGAGCACAGAGAAGGACAGTTTAGGAGGGTGGCAGCTCAACTATCCAAGGGTGATTTTTACGTAGTTCCGGCAGGTCATCCCGTGGCCGTCAGAGCCTCGAAGAACAGCAACTTGGAGGTCGTCGAGTTCATCCTTAATGCCCCCTACAACTTCAGGAACTTCCTCGCAGGTAATATATATATATATATATATGTAGACACACATGTACACACATACATAAGCTCTTGATTACTGTAACGTAAGAGTTAATATATGGTTCATATGTATGTGGATGAAGGCAAAAGTCAGAATGTGCTGAATGAGTTGGACAGAGAGGTGAAGGAAGCGGCGTTTGAAGGGTCCGGCGAACAAGTGGAGAGGCTGTTGAATCGACAGAAGGAATCGTTCTTCGTGGATCGTGAGGAGCAACCAAGTAGGGGAGGCAGGTCGCCCAGACAAACTAATAAGGTTGCTTGGTCTTCAATCTTGACGGCTTTCATGTGAGTGAGTGAGAGGTGAAGTTGCAGTATGTAATAAATAATGAATAAATAAATACGTGCAAGCCCTGTTAACCTATAAGGCACCTAAGGGCTTATCCCATGAGAGGAACGAGTACTATGTATGTACCTGCGTATATGAATAAATGAGGCGGTAGTTTTTGTCTTCAACTACCTCCTCCTTTATTGTGATCTTCATTAATGCCTTCTGTCTTCTATAATTCTGTTTCTATATGTTTAAAGTAACCCACGGTTCATTAACTCCAAAGACCAAACAAACGAAAAGGTACGGAGAAGTAGCAGTGTCTGCTTATTCTATTCTTATTTGTTAAACAAAAATAAATAAATAAAATAAAAACATGGAAAACTTATTGATAATGCCACGAAAGTTTGTCAAAATATATATAGGATATATGTACATGATATATCGTATGTTCTAAGAGGTACGATATTTGTTGACAAAACTTGTATTAGTGGGTCCAAGTACATATGCCATAGCAGCCGAGTCGATTAATTAAGAGAGAACTTAACATGGAGACAACTTATCAGCATATAATAAAATGCACAGTAAAAGGCATTGAAACCATGAATAATGTGGGAATTAAAAAGGAGCACGTAGTTTCTACTACAAGAAAATATACTTTTTACCTCCACCATTCATATCTGTTTATAAAAACGGAGGAGAAAAAATTGAGTATTCTTGTCTGTTTTTTAGAAACAAAACATACTTCTCCTCTGTTTCATTAGAAACAGATGTTAGTTCTCGTCTCTTTCTAATGAAAATAATCTCTTATTTATATTTGTTTTGTAAAAACAGAAGTAAAAAAACTTTTACTTTTGTTTTTACAAAACAGACATAAATAATACTATTTTTCTCGTCTGCTCATAACAGAAGTAAAAAATGGATACTTTTATATCCCTTCTTTTCATGTCCCCCCAAAAAGGAAATAAAAAACCATCCAAAACAGAAGTAAAAAGCCTTCATTGTATTGTAGTAATGTTCACACAGAAAGATCGATTATATATATATAGCAGTAGATAGTGAAAACTCTACTTACAGAAAGAAAAATCCCAGTAACCATCCTTACATACCCCACCCCACACACGCGTGCAAATATTAATACGTATAGCTAGCCACTGTGAAAAGGAAAGATTACAAAATGGAAGCCCAGCTACTTTTGAGTACTCGTACGTCACCATGTTCGTTTGGGAAGATGTTAGAATCCGAGGATAATAAGGTTTCTGCTTCTGATCTTGTCTCTCTTTCACTTGTTCCTCTTTCTCTCTCTTCTCCTCTGGATCGCGATGAAGCTGTTGGCCAATTCCTTGTCCTTGCTTCCCGTCCTCATAGTTCTGATATACACACAACAATTAGAAGGCCAAAAAGGGATTATATTATTAGCTGGTTGGCACGGTCTCAGCTAATCAACATCTCTCTCTTTGTGAATATATGCGATCTAGTTTTGATCACTTCACAGAAGATATGAAATACCTTTTGATCATTATTGAAAATCTGATGAAGATGGATCAGGTGTGTGTGGGGGGGGGGTGTTAGGGTGATGGGCACTATAGAACCCTAACCAAACCCAACATGGACAGCATATGTGTAATAATCTCAGAACTAAGTGTTATTTTGAAACCGTTCAAAAAATGCTGACAATTAGTCTAAATTTTAATAAGATATCATAATTTTTTTTAAAAAAATAACCTTAAGTATTATAATGACATCTCTTGCCGCAATTGTAGGATCGATGACTATTATGAACGAGTTAAGATCTCTGTTCTAAAAATCCAACCCAATTGATCTTTATTCTATGGCATCCAAGAAGGTCTGGTATTAAATATTTGGTGCATATAAATAAAGCATGACTCTATCTATGCTCTCCGCTTTATTTTATGCTTATAATCATTGAAACCGGTTTCAATACTCATTACAGTAATGAGCACTATAATACACATTGCTGTACTCATTACTGCGGTAAAATCTATTTAAATACAATTTTAATGATCTAAATTTAAAATTTACAACCAATAATTTTTAAACAAAAATTTTATTTTAAAAAAACTTACAATTAAAAGATTTATTTTGGATTATATACCCATTAAAAAATTTTAAAAAATAAAAATATTAAATGTTAAATTACAGCAGTCTATAATAAGTATCATAATGTTCATCACTACCATGAGCACTAAAACTAATTCCATTGTCATCTTTGTCTAACTACATGTTCTGAGCCAAGAAATTAAGAAGATAAGGACGAAAGAGGTGACCATCTCGAAAATTCAGATGGTTTCCAGATTCAGGTTGCAGTGTTATATATGGTATTTCATATGAGACAATGTTGGCCTCGCCAGGAGCCAATAGATATCTATCCTTAAAGAGGGACAAATATCTTTGTCGTTGTTGCTACTGTGTCCTAGGAAGTCGAACCTGCAAATTACAGTAAATACGACACACAAAATACTCGCACAATCCATTCGCCACGTTTATATTACACACACACATGCTGCTGAGTTGAGTGAGAATATATCAAATCAGACTTGTATTATATATATAAAGACGAGAAAGAAACAATTATGTAGGACGCAAAAACTTGCATTCAGAAATGCTTGGTGGCCAGGTTCGCAAATCCCAAGGTAGTATTGGTGGGTTATGTGTGTGCAGTGCAGTGCAGTGATATATCTTATATGATCCTGCAGAGTAAAGTATGAAGGAAAGTTCTTAGAAATGACGAGGAAAAATGAAACGGTACCTTCGTTCTTTGTCCTATTTCTGTGGTCCCAACATCACCTTTATTCAATGAAATCACGTTTGCTTTTGCATTGATTTTGGTTAGAACGTCTAGAAAACGTGGTTTAAACATATTGTTTTGATCTAACTAAAGCAAATAATTAATTTATTTTGACAGAAACCAACTCAGAACCAAACAAAGCTATATAAGACTCCTATACTGTTACCAGTAATAATACGATTGATAAATATTTGTTTGTTGGAGGCCCGGAAACCTTCCGCATGCAAAATAAACTTAGACAGTTAAGGCAGAAATTAAAAGAAATGACAAGAAAAAAGGAGCATCAGTTTGACACAAACTTATAATTAGGACTTGATTTATTCATTCATTTATTTATTATAGTAGTAGAAAGCCACAAAGCTCTGATTACATACAAAAAGCCTCTTCGTAGCAAGTACTCCAAGCCCTTACGTGCCTACATACATACATACATATATATATATATATGCAGGCATTACATTGTCTCATTACATTGGCCCTCAAAAGGAACCTTCTTCCAAGATGGATGACAACGGAGCCCTCTCTTCCTCTTCCTCCTCACCCCTTGGCTGACGACGAGGCTGAGCATTCACAAAGTATGATTCCTTCTGGTTTCTCAACAGTCTCTCAACTTCTTCGCCAGATCCTGGGAATGTCCGCTCCTTCACTATCCTCTCTATCTGATTAATCACGTTGTCTCTCTCACCTTCAATCATCACCAAATCAATTAACCCAAGTCAGCTTTTAGTTTTTTCCCCAAAAGATTAATAAAAGCAGAAATTTAAAGCCCATATAAATATATATATATATATATATATTATATACCTCCAAGGAAGTTCCTCTGGTTGTTCTGGGCATTAAGAAGGAATGCGACCACCTTGAGATCATTCCTGTTTGAGGCTCTGAGGGCTAGTGGGTGACCTGCAAGGGCCACGAAAGCGTCACCTTGATTCAACCTAGAAGAGACCCTTCGAATCTGTCCTTCACTTCGCTCTTCTCCACGTTGTTGTTCCTGTTGCTGCTGCTGCTGCTCATGTCTGTTTTCTTCATCTTCTTCTTCCGATCTTTCGTTAGCCAAATGTGGGGAGGCAATTTCAAGTTGTGCTGTTCCATCAATTACTTGGGCTACAACTATGGCCTTTGAGTTGTAGTGCGGTAAATACAGAGATCCCTATAGACAACATTATTCAATGGAGTTATATTCCTCGTATGGTAGGTGAAATAATTTGTGCATGTTATTGAATAAAGGGGCTTTTTTAGGTACCCTTCGGAGTTGTAACAAAGCGACAGAGATATCCAAGTCCCGAAGAAGCTGGAACCGGTCAGGGCAAGCCTCCCACAAGGCACCGTGGTTGTTGGAGTAACGAGGTTGAATGTTTTTCAAGTTGATTACTGGCCGTGATGAACTTGCATGTCTTCTTGGGCTTGACGATGATTCTGCATGCCTTCTCAGTTCCCTGGCGTGTTCCCTCGACAAGCTTACCATCACTCCCTCATTTGAAGAACTCTGCTTCTGCTCACTTTGGCCTCCCTGTTGTCGCCGTCCAAGTAGGATCCTTTGTATCTCATTGAAGTTCGACTGTTTCACAACGTTAATTTATCAGAACGGACAAAAATTTTATGACAATTATGAGAATATATACTATGATGATTGAGTTCTCACATTGAAGGTGGCCTCAAGAGTTTTCTGGCTGAAGGCATGGTAGTATGCCCGAGGGTTTTGATTGCCAGAGGGATATAAATTCTGCAGAAGAATCACCAAACACAAACACATGAGATTTTTGTTCGTAAAGATTAAAACTTGAAGAACAAAGAAGGGGAATTTTGAATTCAATTCATGTTTTAAAGATTGATGACCTCGTATTGCCCAGGCATGTTGACGGGAAGAATAAGGCTGGCAACTCTGAACCTCTGGTCTTCTTCGACATTAGCAGTGTAAACAAGATTCCCTGGTGGGACCCTCACCACATCACCTTCCTCCAGGCGAAGAGTCTCCCTATTAGTCTGGTTCGCAATACCCGCAATGGCCCTTCCTGTAATAATAAACAATCAATCCATAATTATTTCTTAATTAATAAGAATATTTATTTACCATTATCATAAATGAACAATATTATATTAAGGAATATTCAGAACTTGCCTTCGAGGACGACAAAGAGAGCTTCAGCATCGCGATGGTGGGGGAGGAAGAGAGAATGTGGTCTTAATTCCAACTCCACGTAGCGATAGTTTCGGAGGAATTGAAGGTGGTCGCATCTTTGGTCGAACCTTTGAAGGATTCGGATGCGACCACGTTCGTTCTGGAACCGAGTTCGGAAGTTCTGAGATCGGAAGTGATAAGGATTCTGGTTTTGTGTATTCTCGTTTTCCCCGAAGGCAAGACCAGAGACCGTTGCAAGGAAAACCGAACCCAGCAACAACAAGACAGGAAGTTTCAAGGAAGCCATTGTTAGTGATCACAAACTCTCTCTCTCACTCTACTCGTCGATGCAAATCTTAGAATGACAAATCAGGTATATATACGCAGGAAGCCATTGAAGCAATGGCTAGTAGTAGTAGATAGTGCCAATGTAGTGCTATACGGACGTGTGAATAGTTTGATTCGCCTCTCATGCATGGAGGACACGTGGACTTTGGTGAGGCATGCACGGTGACGAGTGTTTCATGAAGAGACAAGAGATGAAGATAATAATAACATGATACATTGAACGTGGCCAGTTTCTAAGTTGTAATGCAACTATTATTTCATCTTTGCTCATTGTTGCTTTTGTGTGTGTGTATCCTCATCCTAATTAAATTTAGGAGTTTGCAGAAAGGATGGGCAGGGACCAACTAAATTGACGTATAAAATACAAGGAGAAATGCAATCAATCTGTGTAAGTTAATATGAATTTTGGGTACCAGGTTCTGTTTTCTGATCATCTGATAGAGACTGAGAGATGCGAAATAAATTTAATAAAAAGCATGAAGTTAATGATGGCACTATATATAGTGCGTTCTGATTTCTGATGAAGAATGATCACGAATGCGCTGAGACCACTGTTTGCAATGAAGTTTGGTTATGAATGATAAGAAGGGACCTTTATTGTCTATATTTCGATATTCTATGATAAAAATTAGTTAAAATGCTATCCCGTCGCTACGTTTTTATAAGAAACAACAATCACTTATGCCTTATTCCTATGTTCAAAAAACACTCACAAGATTTCTCAGATTTTCTTGGATCCTATTTTGCTCTCATTAATAACTTATTTTAATTTTTTTTATTAAAAAAAAGAGGAGAGTTTGGGCGAGTTGAATCTTAGGGATTTATTAAGATGAGGACATATCTCCAAACTCAAAGAACGCCTGTAAAGATACTTACAAATCGCTCACCAATAAGATTCTCATATCGGCAGGAAACTTATTTTAATACTTAATTTATTTATTATCTCAATTTTCAAAACATCATACATTCGTCTCTTTATCACACATTCTCTCTTTTTTATCATTCTCCACGTTTAAATAATTTTTTTATAAAAAGGGACGGAAGGAGTATATTTTTTATAGTGTTTTAAAATTACCCGTAAATAAGTTTGAAAGATGTGATAATTTTTTTTTACTATTATGAAAAATTGTTAAAAAATGTATTTTTATAAATGAGTCATAACAAATAAGTAGTAGTGTAGTAGTACTATTATGTTAATTGTGACTGGCTTATAAATAAGATCGATAGGCACGAGGATTCATACATTTAAGTCTTGTCGTTATTGGCAATGTGGCCTAGGCACTTGCAAATCTCAATACGCTCAAAGACCCCAAAAAATATGTACTCTCCATTCGCCACGTTTATCTGCTTCTTGATAATAGGAGTACTGGACCCGATTTGGGTGCTTTTAAATTTAAAATTTTTAATTATTTATTTTTTTAAAATAAAAACTATTTTTTTGAAAAATTTAATAGTTAAGATTTTAGATTTCATACTCATTAAAAAAATTAAATCTAAATCATCTAAATTAGAACTTGACATCTGATGGGGTTTGGTCCTCATCAATTTGGTACTAAAACTCGTTACTCACTACATTCAATTTATGTTGAAATATAATTGATCTCCAATACCTCTATTATAAGAAACTCTTATAGTACACACACATATTATAATGTGCAATGTTTTTACTTAAAATATTATTTTTTTATTCAATAATTCTGATTACTAAAACTTTCTGACTAATTAACCAAACCCTTCTAATCAATAACTTAGATTGAACGTATATTTAAAATTTTACAAATAATTAATTAATTTAATTAATTTTTTAAATTACATAGTTAATTAGAACCCGTAAAAATAAAAAAGAATGTTATTTAAATAATTTTAATTTTCTTTAAAAAAATTCTTTTACCGATAGCAACTGTTATAAGTGTTATCAATGATATTTATTAATAAGGTATTTGTAGGAGAAAAGAGTCTAATCTTTTAATATAATACTACCTCTCGCCTTAAATATAAAAGCTAGCTGATAGTCCTAAATATAAAATCCAAATCTATTTTGTCTTTCAAATTTATAATATGTTCTCAAAAATGTCGATATTAATTGTAAAGTATTTTCATCCAAGTGTAGTTCTATTATACATAATTAAATAAAAGATAATTTAGAGAAGTCAATACACATTTATTACATATAACTAATTTAACTATTTTTTTATCTCTCCAAATTAGCTATCTAACTCTTATATTAAGGATCGGAGTAGCACATAAAGTATTAATTTTGTCCTTAAAATTTCTTTCAACACTCTCAGTTCGGAATATAATTAAACAATGAAAATAATCAATATTAAAGTATTAGTTAAGACTTAAGACTTAAAACTTTTCAAGATGTCCCCATATAGAAGTTAATCGGGAGTTAAATTTAGTTCTAAATATAATGTTCAAATCAATTTTATCTCTCATATTTATTATTTTTTAAAAAATTTATTTATTTAACTTATAAATTGATATATAATTAATCTAATATTATATAAAAATATTTTAACAAGATCGTATCATATTTGCTATAATTAACTTCTTTAATCTTATATAAATTAGATAAATAGATTTTACATTAAACGTGAGAATAAGTATAAGACTTTGTTCATTACTTTTTCTTAATACTTTTTCTTACTTTGTTATCGTGAACTCGTGATGACCCTGCTAATTAAGTAATCATTTGCTACGGATCCTCAAAACCATCAATAATATAACAAATAAACAAAGATTTTTTTCCCCCTTCAACTCACACTTCCATTTCATGAGTTTGAAGCGTCTAAACATGAACAGTCTAGAATTCTTTTTAAGCATAAGTATTTTTTTTATTAAAGGTAATCATATTTAAAATACTGTAAGACACTAAATGTGAATATTTCTTTCGACATAAATTTGAAACTTGATTTGTATATTCGAAACTTGATTTGTTATACAAAGACTCGTTTATTATGTTCTTCACAGAGCGTATAAGTTTAAATTCATGAACTCACATTTAAGTATTTAACAGACTGAAAAAATGTGCTTAATGTGAGTTGAACTACGGTACCTGAAAAAATAAACAAGGACTTGAAACAAGGAAATTAAAAGAAATGGCAACGAAGAGAGAAGCAGTTTCGAGCCAAGTGAGGGATTGATTTATTTATCTGATTATACATAGTAGTAGAAAGCCAGAGCTCTGACGACATGGAATAGCCTCCTTACAGAAGGTATGTAAAGCCGTTACATGCCCATATTATGTTTATGTGTATGTGTATGCAGATGGTTCAAAAATAGGCTTCCAAAATGGAAGACAAGGGAGCCCCCTGTTCCTCTTCTTCTTCCTCCTCAAAAATAAGCTTACAAAATATGATTCCTTCTGGTTTCTGAGAAGTCTCTCCCCTTCTTCGCCAGACCCTTGGAATACCATCCCTTTCACTCTCCTATCTATCTGCTTAATCACATTGCCTCTCTCACCTTCAAAACACAATCATCCCAAGTTAGCTTTCCCCCAATTCACAAAATTAATACTACCTCTCAGATCTTTAATATAAGAGCTAGTTGAATAATTTGAGTAAATTAATAAAATTTGTTAAGTTAGTTATTCGTTACAAATAGGTATTGTCATTTATAGAATAACCTTTTTAATCATGTGTATTAGCTAAAACTATTATTTGATAAAATTTTTAACATGCACAACTACTGCAACAACTACTTTTAAAAAAATAGATAAATGTGATAAACAAAATGAATTTAGGTTGTACCAAATTAAAAGTCAAACTGTCTTATATTAAAATATATATATAAGGTAATATTAATTTGTTCACTTGAGTCTAAATCACAAACATATCTATTTATATATGTACCCCTGATGAAGTTCCTCTGGTTGTTCTTGTCATTAAGAAGAAATGCAATCGCCCTAACGTTACTCGTCCGTGAAGCTCTGAAAGCTACAGGATGATCTGCAAGGAGTATAAAAATATCATCTTGATTCAACCACGAAGACGCCCTCTGCATCTGTCCTTCACTTCGCTCTTCATCTTCCTCTTCTTCACTGATCTCTTCACCTTCTTGTTCTTCGGATCTTTGGTTAGCCAGATGTGGGGATGCAATTTCAAGTTTCGCTGTTCCTTCAATAACTTGCGCCACAAGTATGGCCTTCGAATGGTAATGTAGCAGAAACAGAGACCCCTAATGGCAACAATAATTACTCCGAAAAGGAAGAACCAGTTGTCCTCTGGTACTTGAAATTATTTGTGGATATTATTGAAATATAAATGATGGTTTAGAAAAGCGTTCATCTTTTTGAGATCTATGAAAGTGACAAAGATATCTAAGTCTCCAAGTTGATGGAAGTCCTCAGGTCGAGCCTCCCCCAAGCTGCCATATTCACTAGAATACGAAGTTCACGTTTTCTCAAGTTGAATGGACCTGACGGAGAGCTTGAGGATGATGATGATCTTCTTCTTCCTGGGCTAGACGATGATTCTGCATGTTTTCTCAGTTCTCTTGAGTGTTTCCTCGACAATCTCACCATCAGTTTTCTCAGTTCTCTACAATACATTAAACATCAACGCCAAGAAGAAGAAAAAGAAGGACAAGAAGAAAGTCCACAACGACAATCTCGTCCCGGAAGGAGGCCACAAGAAGGAGGACAAGGGGAGAAACAGAAACAGCAACAAGAAAACCCGTATCACGTGCCCTCTGATAGGTTCCAAACCCGATTCGAGAACGAAAATGGTCGGATCCGGGTCCTCCAAAAGTTCGATCACGTGTCCCCACACCTTCGGATGCTCCGATACTACCGAATCGTCGAATACAGAGCCAGACCGGGAACCCTCATTGTGCCCCACCACTCCGATGCCGAGTACCTCGTCATCAACACCAGAGGTACATAAAGCTCTCATCTTGGTTTTATTATTATGAGTATTATACACACGCATATATATATATTGGATGCTAACCAAACATAAACATGATTGATTGCAGGAAGGGCCATAGTTACTCTTGTTCTTCCAAATTACAAGGAGTCTTTCAACCTAGAGCAATTTGATGTTTTGAGGGTTCCCGCAGGGGCCATATGTTACACTATTAACCGTGCCAGTGGTCAAGATCTTGAGCTCATCAAACTCGCTTTACCCGTTAACATTCCTGGTCAAATTGAGGTTTATAATTCTCTCCTTAACTTACAATTTCATATTAATCCTCAGTAATCTCCAAAAAAGAAAAAGATTCTCATTAATTGTTTTGTCCGGCCCTGACCTTGTGTGTAGAACTTCTACCCCTCTGGCAATCAAATTCCCAATTCTTACCTCAAAGCCTTCAACAGGAAGACTCTCCAGGCCGCCTTCAACGTAAGCATCATCTATATTGTTGTTTATGAGTTTCTCATTGTATTCTGATTTATTAACGTCGTATTGTTGATATGAAATAGGCCTCGTACGAGGAGATTGAGCAGGCATTTTGGGGAACAGAGCAGCAGCAACAACAAGGACAACAGGGTTCAGAAGAAGGAGTGATAGTGAAATTGCCGAGGGAACAATTGAGATCACTGATCAGCCGTGCCCAATCAAGGCAAAGAAGGGAAGAGAAGAGTTCACCATTAGGTCCTTTCAACTTGAAAAACATTCAGCCTCGCTACTCCAACAACCATGGCACCTTACGTGAGGCTCACCCTCAACGCTTCGAAGCTCTTCAAGACCTCGGCATCGGTGTCTCCCACCTAAGACTCAACGAGGTATAGACACATACATATAACTCAACCAATTGAGAACAACATATATAAGGTTTCATGAATTTTGGTAATGATGATGAGTTGTTTTGTTGATTCTTGTTGGGCAGGGATCAATGTTTCTGCCTCACTACAACACAAGAGCGATAATACTGGCCTTCGTTGCTGAGGGACAAGGAGACACTGAAATGGCGTGCCCACATTTAGCGAATCCCGAGGCACAGGAGGGAGATTGTGGATGCAGAGCGATTCGACAGCAGAGGCAGCGGGAAGGAGAAGGAGAAGGACAAGAGCATAGAGAAGGACAATTTAAGAGGTTAGCAGCAAGACTATCGAAGGGTGATTTTTTCATAGTTCCGGCAGGTCATCCTGTAGCTGTCAGAGCCTCAAGGAACAGCAACTTGGAGGTCGTCGAGTTCGTACTTAATGCCCCCTACAACTTCAGGAGCTTCCTCGCAGGTAACATATATATATATATATATATATATATTTATAGACACACATACATAAGCTCTTAATTACCGTGACGCAAGAGTTAATATATGGTTGATATGTATGTGGATGAAGGCAAGAGTCAGAATGTGCTGAATGAGTTGGACAGAGAGGTGAAGGAAGCGGCGTTTGAAGGGTCCGGCGAACAAGTGGAGAGGCTGTTGAATCGACAGAGAGAGTCGTTCTTCGTGGATCGTGAGGAGCAACCAAGTGGGGGAGGCAGGTCGCCCAGCCAAACTGGTAAGGTTGCTTGGTCTTCAATCTTGACGGCTTTCATGTGAGTGAGTGAGAAGTGAAGTTGGCCTATGTAATAAATAATGAATAAATAAACGCATCATCAAGTCCTGTATGTTTGCCTATTAAGGCACATAAGGACTTATCCCATATGAGGAACGAGTACTACGTATGTATCAATATCTGCAATATTATGAATAAATGAGGCGGTGGATTTTTTCTTCAACTACCTCCTCCTTTGTCTCCATTGATGGCTTCTATTTTTTTTAAATATGTTCAAAGTAACTCACGGGTTAACTTCAAATACCAAACCGATAAGCTATTGATTAAAATGATAAGTAGTCTCACATCAATAAACAATAAAGAAGAGAACAAAAATTGGAATTCCGAAAAACACACATATTGGGAGGATGTTGGGAGGATTTTAATGTTAACGCTCCCGTCTAACAAACATTATTTTTTAGACACAAAATAATTTGAGAATACTTTATTAAAAAAAAAACTCCTAAGGACCAAACAATAATAAGTAGAGAGAAGTACTAGCAATCTGTGCGTATATTCTATCTTTTATTTGTGACTTCATATGCAACTTAATGATTATAAGAGACAAGGGACCCCAGTAATACCAGAAACCTCTATGAGGATACTCTGACCATTTAAGGTGAAACAAAAAAAAAAAAAGGACAATTTATTGATAACGCCACAAAACTTTGTCAAAATATAGTGTCGAAGTTAAATTAAATAAAGATAAGTGAGAATTAGAATTACCCCATATATCTTTTTAATTATAAGATCTTGTTTGTAGACTACAAATAAGATTTTATAATTAAAACTGGAGGTAGTACTATATAATAAGGCGTTGAAACCATGAATAATGTGGAAATTAAACAGGAGTACCTAGCAATAGTTTACGGCATAGTAGAAGGTAAAAGCTCTAATTACAAACAAAAGCCTCGTAATTAGTCTTTACGAAGATTAGAAGACAACGAAACCTACTTTTGAGGACTCGTACATGACCATGTCCGTTTACGATGGTTTTAATTAGACCTCACGAGGATAACGCTTCTGTGTTTCTGGTCATCTTATCTCTCTTTCACTTGTTAAATTAAAAAAAAAAAAAAACTCGAATAATTCAGACGGGGTCCTGATTCAGATTGCAGTATTCGATTCTATGCTCAATCAACATATTATATGCTCTTTCAGTCTTTAATAGAAGACCTATTTAACTAATTTAGTTAGATTAAGAAAGTTAGATGAGTTAGTTAATAATAAGAAATATAACATGTCTATCATAATCATCTTCCTTAATATCCTCTCTCCCTCTTTTACTTGATTATGGTTGAGGGAGTATTTATAGAGGTAATTTAGGAAAAACTGATAAATATGAGAAATAGGTCTTATATTTAACACTAAAATCAACTTAACAATTAGATCCTATATTAAGAACATGAGGGGTATTATTTGTATTTTACATAAGACAATAATGTTGGCCTCGCCATGAGCCCATGGATATGTCTGTGTGTGTATTGATTCTTAATCAAAAAGGGTCAAATGTCTTCATCGTTGTTGATACTGAGTCCTAGGAACTTGCAAATTAGAGTACATATACGACACACACAATACGTATACTTCATTCGCCACGCTTATATACATGTTGCTGAGCTGAGTGAGAATATATCAGCTTATCAGATTAGATTTGTATTATACGACTATATATTAAGACAACAAATATATAATCAAGAAAGAAACAACTAGTAGTGGCCAGCCAGGTTCGCAAACCCAAAGGCAGTATTGGAGGGCGTGAATGGGCAGTTAGCACAGCGATGTGTGTGTGTGTGTGTATAGATGTTCGTACTTAGTAAACTATGAAGTTGTCAGAAATGACCGTGAAAAATGAAGTTGTACCTTTGTTATTTGTCCTATATTTATGTGGTCCAAAATATCTCATTCAATGAAATCACGCTTGATTTTGCATTAAATTTGATTGGAACGTTTAAAACGGGCGTGGTTTTGAACATAGTTGTGAGCTAACCAAAGAGAATAATATTTTCATAGAAACCAACTCAAAATCAAACATGCTATATAAAAGACTCCAAACTGCTAATTATCAGTAAATTCGATTGGTGAATTCATATTTGTTTGATGGAAGCCCAGAAACCATCAGTATGTATGCAAAATAAACTTAAACTGTCAAAAAATATATAAGAATAGCGAGAAAAACCAAAAGCGTATGGAATGACCGGAGCAATAAATAGATATCAATGCGAAATCGAAAGATATATGTATTGAAATCAACTTAATATATCAGTCGAATACAGCCAAAGCAAATACAATGCAACAGAAAATTCAGCAATGCAGGGAAATAGCGGAAGATCCATCTAGAGAGAGAGAAGATTCTTCAACCATGCACCCCCTTCTCTAACGTCCTGACACTGCTTTTATGCTGATGTGCCATCCTCCGGCTCACAATTTCCATGTGCTCTTTCTCACCCGCGTGTTACGCCTTAGTTGGACTTGGGATGAGTCCCCAGTACTTGATCTTGCATTTGTTGGCCCATCCGAGGTTGGGCTACAGTTGCTTATTACATTACCTCCCTCTTTAAAACGAACCTTGTCGGCAAGGTTCAAATCAAGATACCTCTGTTGTAGATTATAACCCCATTCCAAGAAGGTGATGTAGAACCATCCCATTGGACCAAGTATTATGGTGTCCACTGACCGTGATTCTTAACTAATCGTGATTGTAGGACCTCCAGTGGTTGACTAATAGGCCATTCAGTCACCGATGTTAACGGGAGAGGCAGATAAGAACCTTGATCAACAGCACCTTTGAACTTTTTGAGGAGGGAAACGTGAAACATAGGATGGATTCGTGAATGAGGTGGCCAATGTAAATGATAAGCAACTTTGCCGATACGTTCCGCTACTTCAAAGGGTCTGAAAAATTGCAAGGCTAGCCTTTGAATTTTTCTCAATTGAACAGACTATTGATGATATGGCTGGAGTTTGACCAAGACCTAGTCGCCAACAGAAAATTCTACCTCCCGTCTTTTTTTATGGGTGAAACGCTTCATACGAGCCTATGCCTTCTTATAAATTCACCTTGAGAACCCGTAACAGTTTATCACGCTATTCTAGTTGATGATGGACATCATACGGTGTATCATCTGCTGACGAATGGCATAGTAATGGAGGAGGATCCCCACCATAAAGCACTTTAAAGGATACCATTCCAATTGTAGTAGGGAAGGACATGTTGTACCAGAATTCAGCCCAGGGCAGATAAGCCAACCAGCTCCGTGGGTAGTCAAACACAAAGCACCGTATGTACATCTCTAAACACTTGTTTAGAACCTCTAATTGACCATCATTTGTGGGTAATATGCCGAGCTCATGTTCAAATGTATTCCTTGTAATTTCATTAAGTGCCTCCAGAAAGCTGCCGTAAAAGAATGATCACGATCTAAAACAATGGTACACGGGATGCTGTGAAGTTTCGTAACATTAACAAGAAAACTCTCCACAATATTTTGACTAGAATAATTAGCCGTCAATGGCATGAACATGAAATGGGAATATTTTGAGAGGCGATCGATAACCACAAAAATTATAGAGTACCCACGAACCACTGGTAAACCAGTCACAAAATCTATAGCGATGTCTTCCCATATATTGTTCAGAATCGGTAGTAGATAAACTCGACTGGGTGTAAGTGGGAGGCCTTAGCTTGTTGACACACACAGCACTGCTTAATCACATTTGAGGCCAGAAAAATAGAGAAGCAATGCGATGGAAAGTGCGCAGGAACCCTGCATGTCATCCCACTTTGGAAGAATAAAATTCTTGTAAGATCTGGGTGATAATATTAGGCACGTCAAGTGGAATCACAAGATGATCCTTCCAATACAACTCTTGATGTTTTAGATTATAGTAGGGTAATGCATCAGATTGTTGTGAAATTCGCGCCTTCATATTTGCCAACCATGCAGAATTAGGCAACTGGCTATAGATTGAATACGGAAAGGTGTGTTCCAATTGTGAGATAGCGAAGCAAGTATGACGGGATAAAGCATCTACGTACAGCTTGATTTGGGCACCCAGGTTTGTATTCTATGCTAAACTGATAGCCTAATAACTTTGGTAGACTGAGTTCCTGTTCTGGGGTCTAAATTGTTTGCTTGCAAAGATGCTTCAAGCTCACATGGTCTGTGCAAATGATGAAGTGTCAACCAAAAAAATAATGACGAAATTCGGCAACTACCTTTGTAATTGCATATAATTCTCAGACATAAGCCAATTGCTTTTGCATTCAAGGTGACAATTTCTTAGAAAAGAAAGCCATAGAATGATCATCCTGACTCAAAACTACCCCAATCGCAGCACCAAATGCATCAGTCTCTAGCACAAAAGTCTTAACAAATTCAGCAGTGCAAGGACATGAGACGAAGTAAGGGCACGCTTTAGGTTATCAAATGCACTTTGGGTCTCATTGGACCAGTTAAATGCATCAGTCTTCAACAAATCAGTTAATGGGCTAGTAATCTTAGCATAATGTTGGACAAACTTGCAGTAATTAATACCCACTGAGCCCCGAGAACCCTCTCAATTGCCGTATGTTTGTTGGAGGGGGCTAGTTCTGTACAGGTTTGATCTTTGACCCATCCATCTCAACCCCAGCCTGAGAAATAATATGTCCTAAATATTCTATCCGCCAACGACTGAAGGAACACTTACTCAACTTAGCAAATAACTGATTTTGAGCCAAAGATTGCAAGACTAACTCCACATATTATAAATGCGATTCCCATGAATCACCATAAATGAGTATATTATCAAAGAATATCAGAAAAAATTGACGGAGGGATGGTCAGAATATAGTGTTCATTAATGCCTGAAAGGTGCCCGACGCATTAGTTAAATCAAAGGGCATGATTAGCTGTTCTTAGTAACCGAGGTGGGTTTTAAACGCCGTTTTCTCCCTGTCTGTTGCTTTCATCAAAATTTAGTGATACCTAGATCGTAGATCAAGTTTGGAATAAAAAATTGA